AATTTCCTTGAACGGCATTTGGCACTATTTACCCTTCCGTTCCCTGCTCTTCCGGAAACAGGACAGTCTTTTTCTGCCTCGGCAGAGTTCGCTGAAAATTTGTTTCCTGGGATATTGATCTCCTGAACATGAATATCACATCCGCTAGGCACGAAATCTCCAGGGGCCCGCGCCACAGGCGCTGGCGCCAAAACTCCATGAATCGTCAAATTCGCTAAAACTTGTTCTGCGGTAGTTTGACCTATTGAACAGCAATATCACATCCGTCCTGCCGCCCGCGTTACAGGAGCTGGCGCCAAAATACCTCAAATCACCGGCGCCTGTGGCGCGGGCGCCAGGAGGTTTCGGGCTAAGCGAATGTCATATTCGTATTCAGGAGGTCAAAATACCCCAGGAGACAACATTTGAGCCAAATCTGTCCACGGAGAAAAAAGTCGGTCAGAAACTGGCTCAATTCTGGATGGCTGGGGCAGTAAAGGGTAAATAGTGCCCGGCACTTTACTTCAGAGTATGTTCTGCAAGATTTATTTTTTTTTCTCATACTCAGGCAGTGTAATGCTGTGACGTTTGTCTCAGTGTCTTTGCAGCAACAAATTTTATTAGCTTTCTTCTGAAAGACTATAATAATGCAATTATCGCGCTGCTCAGCAGACGAAGGTTTTGAAAGCTCTCAGAAATTTGAAGGATTTGGGGAGCAATTTTGCTCACAACTTTGGAACTTGTATTCGATCCTGAACCTTTGAAGGAATGGTGAACCTCTGAATTGAGCTGGTTCAGTTATTTTTAAGAATTTGCTCGTAACGCCGCTCAGCAAGCACACGGTCTGGGGGTGGGGGGTCAACTCCCATTCAAATCCCAACTATGTAATACATCCCGCCGGCCAACTTTAGATGGCAAATTCGTGCAAGATCCGTCTGAGAAAATAAAAATACTGATTTGTACATCGGCCCTCGCATTTGAACTTACCGGCCGCATAGGATACTAAGTCGCTAAGGCTGCGCTCATACTTTGCGATAGCTTCCATCAGCGACCATCAGCGTCAGCGACTAAGGAAGCATACATATCGATTTAGTGAAGGGCAGTTCTAGCAGCGTCAGGCAGCGTCCGCCAGCGTCTAGCAATGTCCGCCAGCGTTTCGAGCATCCGTTAACGTCAGCGGCTAGGAAAGTAGATATCAAACTAGCAGTCCGCCATTGACCGTCAGTGTCTCGAGGGACTACGGAAGTATGGATACCGATCTGGCGTCTACCAGCGTCCACCAGCAACCATGTGTACGATATTGTGCAGCAGTGGTGCGGATGAACACGCCGACGCCTAATCCAGCTTTCTGCTCCCTCCTACCTCCTCATACTCTCTTCTCCTGGTCACTGGTGGACGGCGGTGTACGCTAAATCGAATACATACTTTCCTAGTCCCTCGAGACGCTGAGGGTCGGTGACGGACGCTGGTAGACGCTAGATCGAAATCTGTGTTTTCCTACTCGCTGACGACGGTGATAGACTCTCGAAACGGTGATGGTCGCTGGGGTCGCTGGAGGACGCTGCTGCAAAGCATGAACGCAGTCTACTAGAGAAGGTTAAAAACGATCATGGGCTAGCCTCACAAGTGATTGCGGAGGCCATAACGCACTCAATATCTCACTGCGATTCTGAATGGAAGTAGAGTGCACACCGCACCCGAAAAGGGAGTAACGGACGGCGGGAGCTTTGCCTTTTTTATCACGAACCGTTACTAATGTTTGTTTCCCATAAGTAGTGTCTTCCTTCAGGTAGTCGGTATCCGAGTCAAGAAGAGGCCAGCTGTCCTCGTCCAGGATGCATCTGCAACAGCACCCACGTCACCTGCATAGGTTCACGATTCAGGAATTCCGACGTCTTTCAACAGGTGAACTTCTTTTCGATGCTGTTTTGCCCCCCCCCCCCTGCTCCCCTTCTATCGCTCAAATGGTCGCTTCGAACTGCTGTGCACGGAATGTGTGTGCGATGCGCATGCGCGTGCGCGCGTAAAATTGATGTCCTTCTAAAAACACGCACTAAGGCGAGATGAGGGCCAAAGATCAAAGCAAGAAAAGAGGTGAGCTTCGACTAAGAGTGGTGGTACTTGAAGCACTGCTGATGTGAGCAGAACTGGGATCACCGTATGGAAATGACTTCACAGAGCGCAGGAGAAAAGGAGCTCAAGAAGTCGGTATCTGAAATATCAGGATGAAACCAATGATTTTGTGCATAAAGAGGCTCCGCCTTACGCTAATCTCAGTTCCGCATAAGGAATCCTTTGGGTCCCTCCCTTCCTTACGGTTACTGGTTACTGGATTTCCAAAACCTATTGTCGACAAACGATTGCCCAAAACCTCACCTAGAAAGTCCCTTCCCTCCAACCTTTTCCCTTTTTTCATGCATCCAGCTTCATTTCCAATCTCGACAGAAAAGAATGACTAAGCAGAATTTTATGCTTTTCCCTCGAATGCTTAGCAGCGTTTTGTATGGGACCGTATCGCTGACTAATGTGGCGTTAATGGGATGAGCTGGTTATTCTGATGACGGTCCAAGCAGAGGAGTTTATTGCTTTTTCCCTGGTTTTTCATCGAAAAACTCGTTGTGGACGACCGATGAATCAGCTGAAATTCCTCTGCCGTCGTGAGAAAAATGCTAAAATTTCAATCCGATACGGTCGATACCAAACTCTGCAGAGGCACTCTACTTTTTGAATACTTCAGGTAGTTTTCAATGATTGGACTCACGGTTCTTAGAGCTAGGTAGTAGCTCGATGAAATAGGGTTCCAGAGTCGCATTCCATGAGTCGTAAGATCGCTAGAACACAGTCTTGTTTGTGACGCGCTCTGAGTCCTAATTAGTATGCTTAATTGTTCGTGATGTTCGGTCTCAGTTTCATCTCCAAGATACGCCATGCATTGAAATTCTGTCTGTATCCATGGTAGTATGTACATGTAGGGCGTTTGCTGCCGTGCAAGTGAATAGATATGCGCTTCACATGTAGTCGTGGTCCCTTAAATTATATGGCGAGAGAAGGGGCATACGTTGAAATTTAGCTCCACCGATAGTTGATGCGGACTCAGGATAGCCTCGCTGGTTGAAACAGCCGTCCTGACTACGCTCCGGTCCTTACCCCGCCATATTCATAATCCTTTGCAGGGATCACGATTATATGTGTATTGCCTTCCTACTATCCAATTCTTACGCAAGGCACTCCTTACCCCCCCCCCAACCCGGTACTAAAAAGGTTAGTGTAGAATGTGTAGTCCACCGTCTCTGCCGTGCGTTCAAGTAAAGTCTTGTTCACTGCAGATTCTGGGCGTCTCAGGGGCTGGGTACGACGTGGCACCAACCGGTTGTCCACCAATAGTTGAAGAGGGCAGGCGACAACAATAGCTGGGAAACAGACTGGCGTCGCGCCAAACCCGGAGCGCAGCGACACTCCCCTGCATCCAGCAAAGATCGCTTGTTGCAAATTTTCCATATTTATCAGGTATGGCAACGTGTAAAACAGAGCAAGTACCAAGTAGTGCAGTACAATTTTGAGTTGAGTAGTGAAGCCGCGCGCAAATTAAACTAAGCGCTTCTTCTTTACTAACTTCGTACTACGTTTGTAACAGATTTGACAATGGGTCTGATTTTGGCTAGCCTTTGGTTTCCATTCAGTCAACGAAGTTTAGCTTTCTTGAATTTTGAGCACCCTTGCTTTTCTCTCAAGCTCTCTTGGAGTTGGTACAATTGGTTAAGACACGAGTTTCAGATCCACGAGAGAGCTTTCCCTCATATGGATACGTTGACCATGACTGGGAACACTTTTGGTGACATTTCAGATGGACTTTTTACGGAAGGTAAAATAACTTCTATTCAGTTGTTTGTTCAGTAAAAATCCAAGGGTAATGAAGAAAGTTTGTGTTTGCAGGGGAAGTGCACTCGAGTTTATCATTACTGAACTTGACGGGTAACGCAATAACGAAGGTGTCGTCGGACACGTTCAAGGGAGCGCCGGCCGTCCAGTTCCTCTATCTGGGCAATAACGAAATCAGACATGCTGGCCGTTACGCTTTTGAACCGATGCAGAGGTAGGCTTGTGAAAATCTTGATGAGCAAAAGGTCGCTCGAATACTTTCTTCAGGTTACGAGTCCTCGATATGAGCGGGGCTCTTGGGAGAAGGCCGGCCGCCTCGAAGGCCGATTTGATCTCAGTGCTCTTCGAGACGGAAAAGCGTGGGTTCGTCGAGTTGGCTGAGTTGATGCTGGCCAACAATCAAATTGAGAAGTTACACAAGGACACTTTTTGCAAGGTAAAGGTCTCTGGTTTCTGCATATCTATTTGAAATCCGAATTAGTTGAAAATGGAAGAGTTGGGCACCATTTACTCTTTATCTACCCCTGTTCGGAATTCAAGCAAGATTTTGATCGAACCTCCTCCCCAGGGTGGCTTGTGGGAAGATCCTGCGCCAAGAGCTGGTTCAACAACATCGTTCCGAATATCACATCCGCTAGGCGCAGAAATGCCTGCAACGCGCGTTACGAGTGCCGGCATCAGATCAGGACCGTAAAGCCATTTTTGCACCAAGCGCATGTGGTATTCTTATTCAGGAGAGGGGGATAATAACCTCTTAGACAAGATTATAGCCGAGACTAAACTCCGCAGAAAAATTCCGACGAAAATCTGGAGAGGATTTCAAAAAGTGTGGGGTGGAACAATTTCATGAACTGCGGACTTCGTTGCCTGGGGGACCTTGATCTCAGCACAGGCTTTCGGAAGCGATATGACGGAAATGATTACATCAGCGGTTAACCACATTCAGGTTATCACAAGAGTGCTGAGTTCTGGGCAAAAGTCGTACCCCCGGGAATCGAACCCGCACCTCGCGCTTTCCGGGCGAGTGCGCTATCCGTTACGCCACCAGGGCCGCTTTTACCCTCTCAGCTTAACGGCTTTTATGCCGTAGCCTTACAGCACTCACACGTTTAACTTGGTGAGCCGGTCAGCCACAACAAACAGCAACAGCTTCAAAAACTTGTAAAGCCTTCGGCCTTGCGGTTCCATGCCGATATCTAACGATTACGGCTGACCGGCTCACCAAGTTAAACGTGTGAGTGCTGTAAGGCTACGGCATAAAAGCCGTTAAGCTGAGAGGGTAAAAGCGGCCCTGGTGGCGTAACGGATAGCGCACTCGCCCGGAAAGCGTGAGGTGCGGGTTCGACTCCCGCCTGGGGCACGACTTTTGCCCACAACTCAGCATTCTTGTGATAACATTCGGAACGCGTACTGCGGCGTTAAACAGCAGTTATCATAACAAAACAGCTTCACATTCAAGTTGGCAAGCTGGAACTATTGAGGAGGGGCCTTATTCGATGATTTTTCAGTTGTTCGGCTTGTCTTCTATGAACCTTCACCTTCACATAGTCATTCACTCAGAACGATTTCCTTCAGTTGAACGTCCCACTTGGGCGGCCCTTGCAGTAGAGCTAGAACTAGGTACTTTTCCAGAAGGAGAGTATTCCATATTCAGTCATAGACCATGCGTGTGACTATGACCCTACGTCAACACTGGCTAACATATCGATGATTTATATTTAAGGACATATTCTAAATTTTATTATAGGAGAGATGAGGCTGAGGTATGATTCTCATGTGCAAAGTGACGGTCTGTGACGAAAGAGCATTGACCGGGCGCGCGCTCAATTAATACTGACCGTTCGGGTCAAGTAGAGATTTGTGAAATCTTGTGAAGCCATGAAGTAATAGCAGTCCAAATTTGTATATTTACTCATTTATTTATTTTTTATTTATCATGCACGCTCATGTGTGCTACAGAAAAATTGTCACTATTTACCCTTTACTGCCCCAGTCCAGAAGCAGGCTGGTTTTTGACCGACTTTTTCTGCGTTGGTAGAATTGGCTAAAAATTTGTTCCTGGGGTAGTTTGACCTCCTGAACATGAATATCACATCCGCTCGGCACGAAACCTCCTGGCGCCCGCGCCACAGGCGCCAGCGCCAATGAAAACTTGTCAACTGGGGTAGTTTGACCCCCTGAACACGAATATCACCTCCGCTCGACCCGACTGTGCGCCATGCGCCAGAATGCTCCAAATCACCGGTGCCTGGCGCGGCCAGGGAGTTGTGGGCTGAGCGAATGCATATTCGTATTCAGGAGGTCAAACTACCCCAGGAGACAACATTTGAGCCAAATCTGTCCACGGAGAAAAAAGTCGGTCAAAAACTGGCTCAATTCTGGATGGTTGGGGCAGTAAAGGGTGAATAGTGCCGCAAAATTTGTTGAAACTACTTTTAAGTTTTTGTTAAGACCTTTCAGCTTTTATAAAGCAGTGAACACGACAAGGGGGATTAGCGAAAGTAGCCTCTCCTACCCACGTCGCCAGACCGCGCCATGGATCACACTTCTCACGTAATCGTGGTCTATGACTTCGAATAAGTGAGCTTACGTGTTAGTTGGTCAGTTGGTTAGAAAACTGCGTATTGTAACATATTCCTTTCCCCTTGCACCATAAGAATTTCTGCATCTCGAGAAAAATCTGGAAAGCCGCGTTAGTTGTTTTGCCCCAGAAGAATTATGGCCCTCAACCGTTATGTGGGCAACTATAATCCCCCGAGTTTCTCAATGTAGCACTCGTAAAAGACAATTAGGAAGCGCGGACATAGCGTTGTTTGCCCGTCCGGCCGTCTCGAATTGCAGCGCTCCGAAGGAAGCGACCACACCGCTTATTTGCCTGAGCATGGCCTTCGCCAAGAAACTGACATAATATATGGAAGTAATGTGATGTGTCTGAAAGTGGAGTGGGAGTTTTCGATTGCAGGTACTCGGCTTACGTCGGCTCGATCTCTCCAACAACAATCTGACCTCCTTCGAAGTGGCACCGAACTGCCTGCGATCGCTCGAAGCACTCGATCTGAGCGGAAATCACTTCACTACGGTATAATTTAATACTAGCACATTCCTTGCATTTCCATTAGCTATTCTGATGATGCTATTATCTGTTCACTGTGGATGAAGGGGCGTGCCAGTGAGTGGGCGCGCCGCCGGCCCGTTCTAATTGTTGAAGCGGGTAAGCGACAGCTGGTGGAGGACCATTGATATGAACGATCTGTTACAGTCTTGCCGCCCGCCGAAAGACAAAAAATAGAAAAACACAGGTAGGCGTCAAACCCATCACCATGGCACGCCCTATCATTCGCAGCGAATAAAACTGTAACTAATCTCCATATAAGCAGCACCCCGAGAAACTATCATTAAAAGTTTCCTCTTTTACCATCCCATCCTAATGGTGCTATGTACGACTACAAAATTGCTAAGTGAGGGCAACAGAACTCAACGCCGGTGCTGTTACGTGGGCTCGTGGGGTAAGAGGAAAAAAGATGTCAAGAACATTCAAGACTAGACGAATAAGACCCTGCCAATCCCAGCCATCGTGCAAGCGAAAGGTGAAGCGGGTGCGCGTCTGAATAAGTCCCTTCCTGCTGTCATTGTAGGTCAGTAACACCAGCTCCTTTTCCGCGATCACGTCCGTTTCACCATTAAGATCTCTACCGTTTCACCATTAAGATCTCTATCATCTTCTGTCCTATCTAGTCGTATGAAAACGTTTGAGTGATGAAGTGGGCGGAGACCTCACACTCAAGTTGGGAGGCATCCCGCCTGACAAGCCTCCAACACCCGTGAACTTATCTTCAACTGATGAAAGTGTTCAACCCCAATCTGCTGTAGAGCTGCACATCTCGCGTGAGCAAAAACGTCTACCTTCCATGTTATTCGTGCGTGCCTTTAAGTACACCATATAGCCAAACCCCTCAACAAACTTTCGCTCGACCAACTTCACTGAAAAAACTGCAAAAGTGATTTTTTTGAAGGTACCCACGTCCCTGTGGGATTCACTGGAGTCGCTGAGCACATTGGACATCTCAGGGAATCCCCTCAATTGTGACTGCTCCCTGCAACCGTTCTCGACGATTGCCAAACAGGAGAAGTACAGCTTCTTGAACCAGGTGAGCTACGACATCGGTTTGGAGTGTTGTGTTTTTCAGCAGCTGTTTTCCAATGGAATGTTTGTACCCGCACCCCAGCTGAACTCAAACCATACATAGGTAGTATCAATAAACCACGGTCAACAATTTTTACGAAAACAGTTTGAGAACCTTCTATTAACCAGGAAACATCCAATCTAGTAACCACTGAAACCAGTGCGCACAATTCCAATCAAATTGAACGGTCGTAAGGATGTTGACATCAGCTTCAAAAAACATTCCGATTCCCGAGACTTCCAACCCGATACGTAATTTTTATACCAGTGTTCGATACTTAATGGATATCCTTTTCCTTTTCGTTTTCCTCTTTGAGCAAAACAAAATTTATGCCCGAGAACGCGATAGGAGATACTAGAAACTCTCTTTCTACTTCTTCAGTCCACCTAGAGACAAAGGCTCAGAAACTTACTAAACTTGCTGAGACTTTACAACATAGTTCATTAATCATTTTATTTAAAAGATGGGGTTATAACTACTCCTTTGTTTCGAAATTTTCCTTGAAGACGCGCCCCCCCCCCCGGTTGCATACTTCGAATACTGGTGTCCACTTGTGATTGTGCAGTCGCTAAATGAATCACCAATCAAGGAACAAGTTGAGGGAAACCATCAAGAACGCCACAAGTAGTAGAAAACAGCATTCGGAAAGTATTGCCCAAGGTGGAACTACGGTAGCTGTTGTTGGTGGTGACTTCCTTTTTGCGAGCTGGGTTGCTTTTGATTGCATATGCTCCTTCTCAAGAAATACTACAGATGGGAAGCAGAACTACAATTGAGCATGACCGTTAGCACCAAACATATATGAAACATGAAATCGTCCTACTATGCTGTAACAAAAGCGCGGTAATTAGCTGTGCAAGTCGTTGTCATGCAGGCAATAACTTTTTACGCAGTTCCGAATGTCAACGAGTCATGCATTGCTATCGTTTTTGTCTCAACCTTCAGTGCCGAAAGTTGTAAACTTCATTTGCGCCCTGAGGACGGAATGCGCAAAGGCATTCCAAGAGTCACCGATAAGCGTCCTCAAGGCACTCCTTCGGTGAAAGTAGTACTTCGAACTCTCTGCGCATAGTGATTTCTTTATGCTTACACGGAGTAATGTTTTACTTTGTTTAGAGAGTCTCGAACCATGATGTAGTCGATTTTCGGCGAGATTCAGAAATGTCTCACTGAAGGAATATACGCATTCTTTCAGGGTAAAACGTTCTGCGCCTCACCGCCCAATCGAGCCGGAAAGAACCTATTTGAGCTGAAGGAGGATTTGTGCAAATCAAGCAGTTGGGGATTGGGCACCCTCATCCTGCTCGTTGTTGTTTCTGCTGGATGTGAGTATTTTTCTCTTTGTGTTTTATACAGTCGGATAAAACCGATGAGACCAACGCAGTCACTTTTTGCACATTTCAATATTAATGCTTTATTTTCTATTTTTCAACTTCATATTCAATATGTAGCATGTATCACTTTTTGGTTTTTTTGGCAACATAATAATGGACGCCGATAAATACTCTACCCTTTTCGAAGTGGTTGAAGCCCTTCCTGGGTGAGACCGTGATGAACTAAAGGACTGAGCGACTCTCGACTGCCTGTGAGAATATCTGGATTTTTCTAATCAGGGAACTCTTGATCAGGAAGGCGAGGTAGCCGTGCAGGAGATGGGCGCTGCCTTTCAGTCAATTTGAAAGGGTTACTGCGTCCGAAAGAGCCCGGGATCTCGTAATCGAGCCTCAAGCTGCGGAAGCTCAGTTCGGTTCGGAATCGAAACTGAAACAGTAGCTTTGGTCGCGCGCCCTCTCAAAAATGTGCCTCAGTTGGACCTTGGTATGGTGGCATGCGTCATTCAACTGGGAAGGGAGTGGTTGCATAATCATTTGAACATGACGAGGCTGCCGCTTTCAGTGGGACGCTGCAATGCAAATGTTCGCAGAAATCTGACCTTTCTCTTGCTAAGAAAGATCCTAATGAATACATGTCCCCAAACCTTCAGAGACAAACTGTATCTTCCGTGGATCCTAATCCCTGTCATTTGTGAGGCGAATAGATCCTGCAGCAGTAGCATGCCTTTCGCTTTGCTCAAAAGTGCACGGAAACGGAACTGAAGGGCAGTGTTACCCCATGCTGTCTCCATACTCCACCCGCTCTGCCGCAGGGCCAGCCACGCGTTTAATCATGGCCAAAGGCGACGGCTATCTGCATCCTCTCATGTCAGTTCCGGCTGTTTTCTACTGCTGAGTATGTCGTCCGTTGCGCGACTTGGTATCTGCGCAAGTGCTGCACCTTGGGGATAGCACGGGCGGAGTGTTGAGCCGGCTTTTAGTACCACCACTCTCCTACCCAGTTTTCCTACATTTTTGAGCGGAGAAAGTCGTTGTTGTGGCTGCGCACTCATTCACTTCGCACATAGAAACAGTCGTCATCGGAAGCGAGCGTACAGCTCGTCTTTGAGGTTTTTTTGGTAATGAAGTACGCAGCCATACGCATACCGTCTCATCGTTACGAATCGTACAGGTACGTACGCTACATGAGACGGATAGGGAATGTGATTTCTACAGTGTCAAAAAAGGTCTTATTCTTCAGCTTAATTCGCCTTTTCTCAGTTGCAAAACATGCAGTCCATACTTCATCAGGAGCACTAACTTTATTGCAATTGCGACTGCCGTAAAGACCTATGCAGGCGGACACGAGGATTTTATGTGCTCTAAAGAGTAAAGCCACCACAAGAGAAATTGACTAGCTAACTCGCAAATATCTTTACACAAGTGGCTGCCGCCGTGCGCTTAACTAGCTCCGTGAGCGTCATTCTTCACCGCCAAGATTTGTAGTAGATGTTACGAGTCTTCGGTCCTAATTGCTATTCCATAGGTTAGCAAGAACATAGTTTTCAGTAGGTTGACTGATAGGGAAAGGGATTGATTACATGGACAATAAAGGGGACGGTCCGACTTGGCGGGGCATTTTTCTTTCCATCGATCACTCTCGATGCCTCTTGCGGGTACCTGTAAATTCCTGTAAAGCAATGAATAAGAAGCATCGCTTGTTCTTGGCAGGTGCCCACAGGTCTCACAGTGGTGAGACGCGTACCTTAAAATGAATTTGCAAAGAAAGCTAGCGGAAATGCTCACTGCCCCCGCTAAGTCGAACAGCGCAAAAATAGCTTATAGCTAATTGCTCTCGGAACAATCAGTGTTTCCAACGGTATTTTCTCCTTTTCGGTGTAAAACTCTTTGTTGGTCTTACGACTTTGCAAAATTCTCAGTTTGTTTCTCCCACATCAAGAATTGTGAAGAAATGAAGTGCTCGAGGAATCTCGAGGTACTTAGTTGTTGAAATGCACCACTGCTATTTTTGTTTTCCCGTTCTGTAACCATGGAGCTCCGATGAAAACGCGCTACTTCAGGTCTGCTCGCCTATCGTCATTACCGGAACCGAATTCCCGTGCCGCCGGCGTTTCAGTTCGGGTACAGCGGTTTGGACAGCGAGGATGACGCTGTTCGACCAGAATTCGTCTAGTCATGTTTTCGCTCTGTATACTGCCTGCCACTATGATATATTTGTATGTATGTAACCCTGTAACTAGGTGCTATTTTCGTTAGGGGTGCGTGTAATTCCTCTCTGTCACTTCTTCAGAGACCTTCATCAGCTGATCAAAATTGGTTCACGCTCCTTTCCACGGTTGAATTTGCCTTAAAATGTGTTGCTATTGCAATTTATGTTGAATTGAACTTAATGGTAATTCAGCTAAAGAAAGACATCTATTTGTGCTGGTTTGGGATGGTTGCCCATCGCTCAGCTCTTTCTATGTAGCACCTGGAGCTTGATGGCGCCCGCGTTCATTTGATGTTCCTACGCCCTCCTCAGATATCGTAGCTTTGTCGACAAGGGTGGAGGATGTACTAATTTCGCAGCTCAAAAATACGAGAGGATGGCGCCACCCGCTTGTGAAGAGGATGCCGCCCCCACCTGGCTGCCATAACTGCTTTGGCTTAGCCTTTAAGGCTGAGCCCGCTTTCAAGAATAATGAGTTATGGAGCTCATATAATACGTGATCCAGTAGTGAAGAAAAAGCAGAAAAAAAAATCATGGAAAATGCCCTATATAGAACCCTATGCTGGCCAGGTGGGCGGGGCGGCCGACTCTTCACTAGCGAACGGCGCTATCCTCTCGCCTTTTTGAGATGCAAAACTAGTACATACTGCATCCTCATAGGGAGGGCTATGATATCCAGAGAGGGCGCGGGAACATCAAATGGAACGTGGGCGCTGCCTTTACCTTTTTATCTCTTACGTGTGTCGTTTTTATTTGTAAAGAGGAATCATCAGTCTTGTTATCCGTATAGAAATGCTGGGTAATGAAGTATATCGACTTGACTTTGCGGTTCCAGAACTGTCTGTCATTCACTATTAAATGAGACGTCTAACGGCGAAATGACGCACCTCCACTAGCGCGCTATGTGTAGTGAACGATGCCTTGTTCCACAGCGCTGTCCAGCTATTTTTACCTAATTGCTTCACGACTGTGCAAACGCGAACGTGGAACGATTCCATTCGTGAACACGCACGGTTTCCGTTTTGTGTGTGTATGGTATTCCATGGTACTCCTTTCATACTAGTAAGTACTCGACTCTGATTCGGCTGATTTACTCGTCGTAGCTCTGCACATTTATCACACCGCCATAGCTCATTTATCACGTCTCCTGTGTTACTTTCCTGAGAGTTTCCATCAACTTCCCTATCGTTCGTCAGGTTCGCAGTTGCAGGAAGTTTACCACTTTTGTCACTTGAACGTGGAGCTGTATGCGATAGTAATGCGCCATCTATGAACAGGAGGAACTGCTGAAACATTACCACCTTCATGGGAACGTCTTGCACGGCTACTTAGCTCGCTCTTGTTGCGTGCTGCGGTTTCATAGTTTCATAGTTTAGGGCGGTTTCATAGTTTTTGGACTTACCGTAATCCCAAATTTGCACGATGCTTTTCGATGCACGATGGGAGCTATTTTATGTTACGGGTTTGCTTTCCTCTCTGGCTCTCTGAAAAACTTCTTCTCTTTGAGAGGGCGGCAGGTTACAGCTTGGTGAAGCAGTTTGGCCCGTGCTTTTACATAGTACGATGGCGAAGGAATCTCAAGCGTTTTTCTTCTCATGTAGTCTATAGATGGCTGAAGGGCTAGCGGGATCTCCCTCGGTGCTAGTTCCTTCAGAGGGGGGAAGGGGAGGTGGGTCATAAATTCCGAAGAGCATATCGCTAATGTTACAGTCGTTATTAGCGAAATCAATCAGGGCGTATGGCGGCGCGTGGGTTTTGGCCCATTCCGACCAGCCATTGAAGAATGAAGCCGCAACGCTCCATGGAAAGTGGGCTGGTCTGGTGCCGCGAAAAACTCATGCTCCGCTGATACGCCCCGAATAACTTCCGTGATAACGACTGCACGACCACACGATAAGTTGCAAATTGATGCGACACCAAACGACGTTTGTGTCACTTGCGCGGCTTCCGCAGTAATACCGTATTGATTCAACGTGGATGTGGGCCGATTAGCTACGAAATATTCCGCTATTTTTTTGCGATGTTAACGTCGCAGATTTCCTGGACTGCATCCACGTTGACTTCACAATAACCCTTCGCTCGCCTGAGAGAGGGTTCTGTTCAGTCTGTCTACCACTTTGTAGTGTTCGATGGGCACCTCTAATACGCTACCCGTAAACCACCAAGTTTAACAGCTTTTCGCAGCCAATAAATCTGGAGGCAGAAGTGGGAGGGGTAGCTCTCAGGTAGGTCAACCGATATGAAGGACTGCGATTTCCTTCTCTTCACGGTACCACCAATTCTGCACCATCAGTCCTTTGTATGCTCAAGGTTGTTAGAGCCGGTTTTCACTTTATAACCATACCTTTTATGCCACACTTTAAAGCTTTTTCTTCGATGGTGAGAGGGTGGAAGACATCTAAGATTGTGGATAGCTCCCGAAACCCGCGATGTGCTGGTTTGGGTTCCTATCTCAGGGCAAATTTTTGATCATATTTCAGTATTTGCTGGATGATTTTTGAGGAGCGAACTGCAGTATCAAACAGCTGGCATCCTGACAAAATGTTTGGTTGTTGAACGAGGTTTCTCTACTCCATTCCACCTGTCGGTGTTGTTGTTCCCTTATCGAAGAGTAACATAAAGGGTGGAATGGGTCGGAGAGGAAATATTTCCCACTTCCACATGAGCCCTGCGCCCCGGACAGAAAGTCTCGTTTGTCGACCCAAAGAAGGCAGTTGTCCCATCTTTCATTCCGAATCGCCTATTCTTCGCAAGGTGATGGAGCACTTGCTTGAACATTAACAGGCACGTTCATTTCATTAGATGGGCTTTAAGTGCAACCAAATAGCTTCACGGTCCTTAATGTGATCCAATGTGTGGCGCATGGGAAATCGATTGATAGAAAGACATACATTACTGTATTGCTCTGGTGCTTCTCTTTTTGGAACATCGTGCTCCCAGCAGGTATCCGCAACGTGT